TGGATTGATCATCTTCACTGTTTAGCTACTCGCCTATGATGCGTGCTGAACGACAGACAACTTATAAATATTATCTGTGTTACTGTGTAAATGAACACATTTAGTTAAAATATAACTAAGTCGGTGATTTAATCCATCCAACATATTTATATTTGTTCTTTTAAAACCAATATTCCTGTTAGGTACACGCACATCACTTAATAAGTCATTTCACAAAAATCGCATCTAATTATTTAGATTAACCTTTACTTTTATTGGTCTCATCGCCTTGTCTCAACCTCCTAAAAGAAATATAGTGAACATGAGGAAAAGTAACACGTTTACATGCAGGCGAAGGAGGTATACTTCAATATTAATCGCACAATATCAACAGCGACTCAAGACCGCAAAGGGCTGACCTGAAGTAAGCTTTCTTAACTAATTTCCTTTTTATTGTACAATGTATATTATTATTACCCCACTTGCTCGCCTCCATTGTCTTGTAAAAGGGACAAAGAATGTGTTGTATTCACACACGAGTTGAAAGAACTGTGCATAACTCCTTTGCCTTGTTGCATAATGTCTTCCTCAAGGCAATAATCAGTGCGAGGAGGGTGTCTTGCCTCATTTAAAAAGGGTGTTGTTCTTCATACTGGTTGTTGCTTAACTTATGCTAACCTACTGTACCATGTTTCTAACTGTAGCAAAATATTTTCGACATGGCGTTTCTGAACGGCATCCGGAGACACAGTAATTTTATACATGGTTTAAGCTTGATCGAGAGAAAATAACAGTCACGTTTAACAATAGATAGCGAACTACAGTAAGACCCCCTCCTCTTTAACTGATGATTTACACTGTTAATTGACCGTACTTTCGTATATTGTATGATCACACAGTCAGACTTCCCCCTGTTGCACGTTGGAGTTGGATTGTCCTTGCGCCTCTGTCAATTCACCTCATTTAATTTCAATATTATAATATAAGTATAGTATAAGTAATATATTCTTTCCTTATTCCTCATTCGGTATCATCCATGTTTTATAAATACTTGAATACTTGAATGCAGATGTTTCAAATTAAAACGTAAGTACATTAATAAATTATACATTTATAAATTAATGCAATAAGAATTTTTTGAGACAGATTGATGCTGACGCTCATGCATTTCGATCAAACAATCAATACTAAGTTTGATTTTTGACTGTGGATATTTCATATTGGGTGAAATAACTGATAACAAATTTAACTAGCAGTTTGTTAGCAACACTAAAAACCAGCTGCGCGTACCAAACTAGTGAACAAAAAGACAGTTTGCTTCGCGTGGCACGCGTTAGCATTGGTTTGAGCCTCTTAAAGCTATAATCCTATCGCCGCAACAAACAATAGGGACCTTCTGGCTGATGTATCCTGCTGTTAATTACACCTAGTTACAGCGGATTGTCGCGCTCGCGCTGGACCACAGAAACCGGCGCCATGGGGTTCACTCGTCTTAAGTATTGTGTTATTCCGCCTAAGCTATTGTGTTTGTGCGTTAGAATTTTGAAGGGATTTATACGGCCCTCCATTGTTTGTCCGCCCCCTTCTATTCACAAGATAGGGATTAAAACATTTCGAACGTTGTTAAACCGGTGTACAATGGAAACAAAATTATTACTATCACTGTAACTAGGCATGCCCTTATGTTGAAGTCGAAAACAATAGTGATAAAGAAAAAGATGTTTCTGTATGAATTTTTCACTGTTTATGTCTCATGTAAGAAATAATATAAAGCTATCGTATTCTTTACTCCTGGTCATGCGTCCAGCTGAAGAAAAGTCATATATCTTTAGAACATTCTATAAGTTACTCACTTTCATCTAAATTAAATTATTTGGAATAGTCTTTAGCGCCCTGTCCTGTATGTGGGAAAGGCCTCATGTCTTGTTCAATGTTGGGTTGTCCAGTAATTCTTAATGAGCTGTTTTGGTGGTCCAGTTTTGCCCTTTACCTTTATAGACCAGTAATCCAAGATGACCTCACCGGGGGGTGGGGGTGGGGGGTGGGGGGGTGGGGGGGGGGAGAAGGCCAACTGCTGCACCCTTTTCAGAATTAACTGATTCTTCGGATGCATTAGCTTTCTGTCTAGAGGTCTTACACCATATTTCCCCAAGAGAGTTGTTCAAAACTAAAACCTGACTAACCACATTGGTTTTGGCACGTTCCCGACGGAAATCGGTACAAATATTGTCTGTGACAAAATTTAACAGGTCGTCTGCACGGTCTACCAGTTACTGTAATTGCTCCTTATCAACAGGCCAACTAACGTTGCTCTATCGTGGATTTGCTGCTGAGGTTAACTTCATATATAGCCTTTGGCCTATATTTAGCCGCCAGCAAGGCAATGAGGTCATACCCCTTGTCAAAGTGGAGGGGGAGGTTAGAGGTGTGCCAGTACTTGCCTAAGATGCCCACCCAGGTTGGTGAAGATAAGGGGGTACCTTGCTGCACCTTTCTAGACCAACGTCATATACCAGAGACCCCCTCCCTTCAGATGGTAAAGAAGAAATGTAGAAAGGGAATAGAAAAGAAGGCTTTGTGAAATAAAATTGTCACGAAAGTAAAACTGATTTTCAAGTCTGATAGTTAAACATGTATAATGACGTAAACTTTTGATCCGCAATAAGCATATGAAGGCATTTTTCATATTCTTAATCTGTCACCATTCACATTTTAATGCTATTTCTTTGCATATTACACGTATGGTAAAGAAAAATAAAAGATAACTGAAGCAGAAAAGCTTGTTATAAAATATATTAATGCGTTGAACAGATATTAAAAGGAAATAAATAACTTGGCTATGATGGGAGATGTTTATTTCAATGAACTATTTACTCTTATACCAAAATTATTCGGTAATTTTTTGTATACGTATCTAATGTATTTAAAGATTGAAAATGGTCAAAATCAGTGCAATTGTGAAAATATCATATATTAAATATATACTGTAATTGCTCCTTATCAACAGGCCAACTAACGTTGCTCTATCGTGGATTTGCTGCTGAGGTTAACTTCATATATAGCCTTTATATTAATAATATATTAATGCGTTGAACAGATATTAAAAGGAAATAAATAACTTGGCTATGATGGGAGATGTTTATTTCAATGAACTATTTACTCTTATACCAAAATTATTCGGTAATTTTTTGTATACGTATCTAATGTATTTAAAGATTGAAAATGGTCAAAATCAGTGCAATTGTGAAAATATCATACATCTCATAATTCTGCCGAGAATAAATATTTACGCCTTTAGTTAAAGTCAAGTATGATTTACCAGGACATGTCTTCACGCCAATTTTCATTAAATATATGTTGAATCTTACCATGCAATCATCCAGCTACAGGGTGTCTTGTGAAAAAGGCATGTTAATGTGAGCCGCTGGGAAAATCACTAACTATAAGCACGCCTTTAAATCTAAAGATGTAAATTTAATCATCACGAGCGAATTTCACCAGTTTCTATCTTCATACACACACAAAAACTGGAAACTTACAATAAAAGCAGGTCTATGGATAGTAATTCTGTAAAAATGATTTAGGTTGTATTTTACCTATGCAAATCACTTAAACGATTGAATTGGAGGTTTTTGCTACTTGAAGATCTGACACACTTATAACTTAATATTTTTACTCTCGATCGGTACAGCAAGAGTTGTTGAAGGTATGAGTTCTAGTTTTGTATTGATTTTCATGCTAGTGTTGTAAAGTTAATTACTTACGCTTACACTAATTACAATTAGTAATGAAAGGGAAATCAAATAGATGAAGAGTGATATTGAGTGCAAATTAAGTTTCATCGAGTGTTAACAAGTGTAGAACATGTTTTTAGTGTCAGAAAAAGATGGAAAAGGTCAAAGCCAATAACATTTAATGTGATTGGTTAATTTCATAACAGATTTTTATGATCAACTATTTATCACATGATAACTAAGTTTTGGACATGATTCAAGTATGAGTAATGCAAATAGTATTTCGGATGAGTTTAGTTGAAAACAAGGCTCTTAGACATTACCTAATAAGGGAATGTTCTATGGTAAAGTAAACATGACAATGGAAAGTTTCTGGAAATCACGCCAAAAACAATAAAAAGAACCTAATTACACGCGTGATCAGTACGGAGAATTAGAGTATAAATATGGGTAAATTTGTATGAAAATTAAGTGGTGAATAAATGATTGAAGACTCCAGAACATCGTCGTCATTATAATACTAGTTTAAATGGCAAAATCATTTGTTTCTCCATAATAATTTCCTTGAAATCTCTACAGAATCAAAACAAAGGTCGAGAATACCCTTGCATGTAAAACATATTAGTCAATTACTATTGGAATATACATTACTTATGTACTCTCCCAGCTAAGACGTGTGTTATTCCATTTCTGCACATCACAGCAACAGAATTCATAACGAGTAGGCAACTGATCATCGTGAAAATGAGCGTTATCATTTAAATATCACTACGCCTTCTATATTTTTATAATGTGGCTCTTAAGTGAGAAGGTTGCAATTTTAACCAAACAGCTGATAAAGGGGAATTTTTTTCAGACTGCAGAATTGCCAAATATTGGACATTTCCAGAGGGTTAGACAACGTCATTACCAAACAGGGATATTGGCAAGATTGCTTGGGTCAAGCCAACCTATGGGGCCACACTCATAGATGAGATAGTGATCATGTCCCTACTCGTAGAGAACGTGTCATGACTGTTTACTTGGCAGCAAAAAGTTAAAATAGGCAAACCATGTTTCTATGTGTTCCTGTTGGGGACAGAAGTAAATGTATGGAGGACAGTTGGTGAGAAGTATTTTTTCGAATTATCTGGCACTGGTAGAAAGTATCCATGATGACAGTTATATGGTATGGTGTGTATTGGCTACCACTGGGTCGGGGAGTTGGTAGTGATCAAATGGAACCTAAAATGATCATTGGAAGTACAATTTTATTGGTGAAATTTAATGAAAAAAATCCATCAAGAAGCTGCATAAAAACGCAAACATTGGGTAATGACTTGTTCCTTTGCATTAGTGTGATATTTCTGGTTAGTAGATTGTATAATCTTGCCTAATACTTGCCCACTTCTTTAGCCCGACTGTGACCCAGAAGTGAAAAATGTATTACCCAAAGATTTTTTAATGGTAATTATATTTCTCTGTTGGATATATCACCCATCTTGTTAAACCCTGTATATACATAACTTCAAAAGTTGCACATAACAAGGTACCTAGGACAGAAAAATATTTGTGTAATGAGTTCTAAAGTATGTCTAAAATGCGATATAATTGAATATATTAGCAAACTGTAGTAAAAATTGGTGTTTTTAAACTTTTGGCAGTCATTTCAGATTTATCAAAATAAGGAGATTCATATAAACAGGTGTTAAGTTTGGGTAAAGTAGTGGTAAGAGGCAAGGTTATATGTGTAAGAGTGCTTATATTCAATGTACATGTAACTAATCACGTTTAATATGCAAGCCTTTTTCTTTTTTCTGTGATACTTCCAAAATTTCCTATCAGTGCAAGAGGAAAAGAAATGTAGTTATTTTGTCCAGGTGGACTCTTTTTTGCTTTGGGGATATGTTCTTATGGCAAACACCTGACTCCAGCATCTTCCGAATGTGTACAGTCGTGCGCTCCCCATTTACCGTGGAGACAGTCTTTCAGGAATCTCTCTCTGCCAGTACAAGCCACCTGTTCCATATGAATGGATCCAGAACCTCGGCCAAACTTAGCACTACGGACTGCAGTTGCGCCACGGTGGCTACAAAATCAATCATATAGCGTTTAAGCTTCCAAAATAAAAAAAAAATAGTTATCGAATATTATATATGTAGCAGAAGGTTTCAGATAAGTTATCTTATAAGTTATCTTAAATAGCAGTTATACTCCTGTGAATTTTGTTAACTAGAAATCCTTTGATCAAATACAGTTTCAAAAATTTAAAGTGTACTTATAGAACAGCAATTTATGATATAACCAAGTATAAAGTGTCAGGCATAATCTGGACGAGAAGTCACAAGATGGAAAAGTTTTTCCGACTTCACCAAAGGGGTGTGCCAGACAAACTGAATGCAATTTAGCGACAATCACCATGAAGCTGGTAAGATAAGGTTGTGGGTATGGTCCCTTAAAATAAACATGTAATTACTTGTAACCAAGCATTCTGCAGACCACACGAGCATCGTCGTCATCCCAGCCGTCATCACAGACAGTGCCCCATTCGCCGTTATGGAGGACCTCAACTCTTCCCTCACCGTCGCGTTTACCACCCATCAATCTTACAACTGCAACTGCAAAGAATTGATGCAGATGACGATAAGCAAATTTTTATATAAGCACTTCCTATTTGCTAACGCATTGTGTCACACAAAAAGGACATAAAAATCGTGCCCAATTAAAAAATAAATTAAACACCATTATGATACCCCTTCGGACCCATGGCAAAAATAATCTAATAACCATTTCGTAGCATGACTTCAATACGTATATTAAGAATATGTCTGTTCACCCACCAGGCCCTGCAACGACACATCGGACACCAGCATCCTTAGAGTGATCACAGCTGTGTGTTCCCCAACCTCTGTGTTTACAATCTTTGATAGAGGTCTCACTCCCAGAGCAGGCGACGTTATCCATAAGAATGGAACCAGTGCCTTGACCAAATTGAGCGCCGGAAAAGGAAATGGAATTACTGGGACTGGAATTTGTAAGCAACATCACACTAGAGGATCAGAGAAGCGGTAGCGCCTCTGGGTGTTGTACCACCAGCTGCAGGAAGTGCATTCGTTTGGGAAACAAAAAAGGGACATCACCTCCAGTGTTATGCTTGACAAGCTCCACAAAGTGCATGAAAACAAGAGTTGTCAATATTTTCGCTGACAATTACTATTTCCAACGTCAATTTTAACTTCATATTGCCAGTATATGATTTCCTATTTCATGGGCATATCTCTGCCAGTTTTGAAGATAAGAGGGGGAAGTTGCAAGGTTCAGTTCATGATGAAAGGTAGGTCAAAGGTCAATTTCAAGGTCACAGTTAGATTCCCAGTGTATAACTTCCTATTCATGTCCAATGGTAACTATGTGCGTATCCCTCTCGGTTTTGGAAATATGAGGGAAGGGATCCTTGCAAAGTTCAGATCATTGTCAAAAGTAGATCAAAGGCCAATTTAAGGTCACATATTGTCAGTATATAACTTTCTATTCAACTTCAATAGTAACTATGTATATCTAGTATATCTATGCCATTTTTAAGATATAAGGGATTAAAATGTTGTAAAGTTCAGTTCATGGTGAAAAGTAGGCCAAAGGTCAACTTGAAGGTCACAGTTAGATTGCCAATATATAACATCCTATTCAACTTCAATAGTAACTATGGACCTCGCTATGCCAGTTTTGGAGATATAACGGACTGAAATTTTGCAATGTTTAAGTTTCAGTAATTTGCCATAACTTTTGTACAGAAGAACTTAATTGAAATAAACAATATGTCATTTTGGCTAATATTCTTGAAATAGGTCGTGTTAAGAAGTTCCAGATGATCTTTCATGAAATATTGTCATTTTTTGACCAGAAGTTGTATGCCTCGTTTAAGCATTATGTTAACTTTTCCAAAAAAAAGTAATTTTAAAGTAACTTTCACCAGCAAAATGTCCTTTTTTTGCAAAAAATGTCCTTTTTTAGAAAATATTCGAACGTTTCACCTTGTAATAAAGTTCAAAATTCAAAGCTAAGGGCATATTTGAAATCTCCACATACAGGGTTACTACTTAATATGGAATATTATTTTTTGGCAAGAAAATTTTCTACAAAATATTTATTTTCTCTCCAACTACTTTAAATCCAAAACTGAGGTGTCACTGCATGTGTAGCCAGGCGTGTTACCTAATTACCACACAATTCTCGAAGCAATTGATGCATGCAGTTGCATGTTCTGTGGTCAGAAATGTGAGGGGTGGTCTTTTCGGCAATTTCTGCCCTTGTATAAAAACGCATGGGTTCGTTCAATCTTTGGAGTGTGTTTAGAGAAGCAACAAAGGGATCGCTCTGAAACTTGACAGGTACCTTAGTGAAGATATGGTTCGACAGCTAAGTAACGCAGCTTACTATGGGATTCTTGCTCTCAGAGAAAATTGCCAGAAACCGACAGCCATTGCCAGGTAATTCAACATTTATCTGGAACCGTTAGTTAAGTCCTCCAAAGAAATGCTGCAACAGGGGCACCTACTCCAATAACTCTACCAGGGTGTCCGCGTATCACACCAAGAAGACAGGATCGCCTTCTCCTTAGAGTGCGCCATGCTGGTCGTACAAAGACAACCAGTGTCCTCAGAAAAGAATGGCAGAATGCCATTCAAATACCCGTTTCAAGGTCCCTCGTGAACAAGAGATCACTGCAAGCCGGTTATTTTGCACGAAGACCAGTAGGGAAACCACTGTTAACAGCAGGTCATATACAGCGACGTCTGCAATGGGCTGGGGACAACGTGCGTTTTCAGCCAAAACTCTGGAATCATGTCGTTTTCGGTGATGAGGCCAGATATGGAGTTTTTAGGGATGACGGTCGAATCCGTGTCCGCCGACGTGTACGAGAGGCATAACACGATGATTGTGCACTGCCTAGGGTGCAAGCAGGGGGTGATAACGTCTCTGTTTTTGGAGCATTTCATGCCGGTGACCAGAACCAGTTGGTTTTTTTAGGAGGCAACCTCAACCAGGGTTCCTACAGAGACATTCTACAGCAAACAATGCTTCGATTTGTAAGAGTCATCTTCATGAACAATTTTGTGTATCAAGACGACTGCGCAATCACACATCGGGACTGCAGAATCACTGTTTTTCTTCGAAACCAATCGGTTCAGCAACTGCCCTGGCGTGCAAACTCCCTAGATATGAACCCAATTGAAAGTCTGTGGGCGGAAGTAACTCACAGAATTAATAGCTATGGTCATCGGCCAGTAAATGTGAATGAACTACGACAGGCAAATATCACTGCATGGAATGATATCTCCATCCAAACTCCAAAAAACTTGTCACAGGGTATGCCATGTAGGATGAGGGCGCTGCAAGCGGCTGCTGGAGGTGATACCCGCTATTGATGACTTTTCATGATTTACTGCAATGTGTTCTTTGACTGTGTAATATATAACTGTCCGGAGGCTATCATTTTCTTTAATATCTTAGCTTAAAATAATATCAACATCAAACTGTTGATATGGTTTTCTGGGGCTGTTCTTTTCTTTTGAATGACGTCTTATGTCAGATTTGATATTATTGACCAAAATATCTCACAATAGAAGACTGGATATTTGTATCACTCAATGACATACTTTTTTTGATGAATTAAGCCAAAAGATTTATAATCAGCACTCAAAAATAACAATGATAAAAAATATTCCATATTAAGTAGGTACCCTGTATGACTTTCGGTCGGCCATCTAAAGACTTTTTTTTCCCATTATTCCTTCCGTTTGGTAGTTATTTAGCATTTAATTTTGCCAAGGGTGCATTGCGACGAGAGCCAAACGTAGACCCAAGTACGAACAAACATAAAAATTCAGATGGATCGATTTGAGGTTTTATGTGACCTACATACAAGAGATGGCTGTCTTCTAGTAAAGGAGAAGAAGTAACGGTGACTGGCAGGACTAAAACCATGTGTACCGCCAGCGCACACACTGGTGGTACAATAAGTTGACAAAATCAGATCTTTTTTAGAAATGGGTAAAATTCTTTGTGATAAAAATGAGTAGCAAATGAAACATAAAGTAAACGATACGCTTACTTGTAACCAAGCATTCTGCAGACCACACGAGCATCGTTTTTATCCCAGCCGTTATCACAGACAGTGCCCCGTCCGCCGTTGTAGAACACCTCAACTCTTCCCTCACCGACATGAGAGCCACCCACCAATCTCACTTCAACTACACAAAATTAGAGATGATGATCAGCAAAGTTTTTCTTTGGAATTATTTATTTGTTCACACAATGTTTCTTACAAAAGTGGGGATTTTGATGTTCATTTTGTATGGCGTTAGCAAAATGTGGAAACATTGCCTTTTTATGTCGACTTAATTATATTATATTATATTATATTATATTATATTATATTATATTATATTATATTATATTATATTATATTATATCATATTATATTATATCGTTGTTAACGCTTTCGAGTATATTCAAAGAGTTAACAAGTGCATGAAGCTCGAGTCCATGGAAAAATAATCTAAATAGCATTTCAGAGGTATGTAACTCGAGTATGTAATAAAGTACGTAATTGTAGAAAATATTTTGTTCACCCACCAGGTGTCGCTGCAACACATCTAACTCCAGCATCCTTAGAGTGATCACACCTGTGTGTCCACCAACCACTGTGTCCACAATCTTTGATAGAGGACTCACTCCCGGAGCAGGCGACATTATCCATAAGAATGGGACCAGTACCTCGTCCAAAATGAGCGCCAGAATAGGAAACAGAGCCTCTGGAACTGGAATTTTTAAGCCACATTAAATGAGTTGACATGATCAGAATGTTTTCTTTAAAAATCAATAACACTTTTTACGATAAAATTGAGTAGCAAATGAAACATTAAATCGAAAAGTACTCACTTGTAACCAAGCATTCTGCAGACCACACGAGCATCGTTGTCATCCCAGCCGTTATCACAGACAGTGCCCCATTCGTCGTAATGGTACACCTCAACTCTTCCCTCACCGGCACGAGAGCCACCCACCAATTTTACAACTGCAAGGAGTTCCGTATGAGGATCAGCAAAGTTTTATATAAGGATTAGTCATGTGCCGAATGCGGAAATCATTTAAACACCATTATGATACCCACTCGCCTCCATGGCAAAATAATGCAAATGCCATTTTGTAGCATTACAGAAATATGTAAATTAAGAAAAAATTTAGAACAATTTTGTTCACCCACCAGATCCAGCTTCGACACATCTGACACCAGCATCCTTAGAGTGATCACAGTTGTGTGACCCCCAACCGTTGTGTCCGCAATCTTGGATAGATGCTTCGCCCCCAGAGCAGGCAACGTTATCCATTAGAATGGGAACATTGCCTCGACCGAAATAATTGCTGTTTGAGGAAACAGGATAATTGGACCTGGAATTTGTAAGCCACATTAATTTGGTTAACATAATATTTTTTTAGAAATGTGTATTATTCTTTATAGTGATTAAAATCAGTAGCAAAGGAAACATGAACGAAGTACTTACTTGTAACCAAGCATTCTGCAGACCACACGGGCATCGTTGTCATCCCAGCCGTCATCACAGACAGTGCCCCATCTACCATTATGGTACACCTCAACTCTTCCCTCACCGGAATGAGGGCCACCGACCAATCTCACCTTAACTACAAATAATTGCAGATGACGATCAGCAATGTCTTTTATTAGAACTTTAGTCACACATTGTTTCTTAATTACTGGGCGATTCTGACGTTCAATTTGAGTATGACGCTAGCAAAATGTGGAAACATGTTTTTTATGTCGATATAATTATATTATATTATATTATATTTTAAAACGTATAAGGGTGCCGGTGCGTTTTTTGTGATCATTAGACACTTAATAATCAAATAAACATAAATGACATTGAAAAATTAAAACTGTTTTGATTCAGACAATATATCGCTTTATTTGTAAAAAATACAAACCTGAAGACTAAAACTAAGATCTCGAAATCGAGACTAAGCGGAAGTGAAACAGTACCGGTGGTCTCGCGAATTTTGTTTCTAACCAGAATTCTATGGAGCGTGAGTACATATGTGCACACCAATATTCTGGTATTTTTTACGGAAATTAGCAGAGTTCGAAAGGGAAAAGGACACCTCTGTGTAGCCTATGGTTGTACAAACAAATTTGCAGACGATGTTTCAATTCATTTGTTCCCGTAGTCGACAAAATCGCCTGCAATTAGGAGGCAGTAGATTGCCTTTGTGAAAACAACAAGGAACGATTCGTGGAGCCCTCTTAGCATTCGGAACTTTGTGAATAACATTAATATGACACGTTCTACCCTTTGAAGTACCAATTGCTGAGGAATATGGGGAAAGAAGATGAAATAGTTCGAAAGCGTTTATTGCCCGGCGCTGTGCCAACGATACCCGTTTTCAATTGAATGAATCAAGATGTCGAAGCCGAGTCGAGTGAAACTGCAAGTGCAGCCGCTAGAGCCGATGGAGATAAACGGTTAAGGTCTGCATACAGAAGAAGGAAATTGCCAAGGGTAAATAATACCAGTTTAAATCATTGTGAATTGTTAATATATACGGGATATAGCGTAGCAATATGATACGTTGTACATGTACTATGGGAATAATAATCTCGTCCCCCATTTTTAAATATTTTAACAGGCTATCACTTTACTTAAAACATATTTTAATAAACATTAGATATAAGAGTATAAAATGGAGGTATTTATTCCTCAAGATCAGAGAAGAGTCTGACTGATGGTCAAGACATACTGTAGAATCTGGAGAAGATCAAAAGGAATGTACAGACGTGTTGGATGTTCCTTTGGTGAACATTTGATAACATATCGTTTTTGTCTTCATTTGCTCTTAATAAACCTATAGTTTGAACATTTTATATATATATATATATATATATATATATATATATATATATATATATATATATATATATATATATATATCAAATGTTAATCCTGTAATTCGCTCGTGTTGCTCATCTTATTACTCGTTAATCCACACAAACATTCAAATATTTGATGATACTTTTTGTAATATAGCACATTAATCACACAGTACAATAATTAAAGCTTATTTGAATTCAGGTGGCTTAAAGCAGCCATGCATTATAATGACAATGGAGAAAGAGAACAGGCCTATAACAATTAAGGGAGGAGACAAGCGGAGTGCTGTAGTCTTTCCCAAGTTTAAATGACTACACTGTGAGGGAACCAGTCGAAGGCACATTTGATATGCATCTGTAAATAAAAATAAATTCACATTCTGCTTGATAATTTAATATTGTTCTCCCTATAATATTATATTTTATTAATCTAAAGTTGACGGGTATTGATTGTATGTGCAGGGATAAATGATAGGTATATGATGGTTGGCAAAATATGCAACTATATTATTGTAAAAGTGTACATTAATCTCTTTATCTTTCAGAATATGTTCACCAGCTGATCAGATACCTGATGCAGCCCGTGCAGGAAGACAGCCTTGATGAACCTGCACTAGGGAAAGCCTCCTCCATTGTGTGCGCGATACAAAAGACCAAGACTTGAATACACTGAACTTGTCTAGATTTAATACGTAATTTGTATGAGTGTGGCATTCATAAGGACTATAAAAATGTCAAACTTTAAGGTTTACATTTTAGTTTACAACACAACTTTTCACAGAAAACACCAATACTTGAGTCAGTTGTACTAATAAAAAATTATCAAGATAATGCTGCTACTACTACAAAAAAGAAGCCCATTTGTTCTAATTTATGCACTTTGGAGTGGTTTTCTGTGCTTGGAACTGCTAAAATTTGTTGTCATCATTTATTGTACTGGCACAAATTGTTACTTAAAATGTCCATGTTTTATTTGTTGTATTCTTAACTGCCTTGAGAAAAACAGTGCTTTGATGTGATAAATAATTGGAATGACAGTAATACATGATGTTTTATAAACATTGGCTTTTTCAAATTAGGTAGTGCAAACAAATTGATGAAGAAGCTATGAGGTAGTGTTACTAGGACAAGCAAATACAGTTATGACAATAATTAAACCAAGTCCAATAACTTTTTTGAAAATTCGAATTTTTCGTAGTTGTTGTCTGTGCTTGGAAACTGCTGTCTAATATTCATTACGGTACAGGATAGAAGAGAAAGCCTAATTTTCTTTCCCATTACTACCCGTATCCACCTAACTGTCTGTATGCAATGTACCATAATCTCCTGCATATAGAAATGTAAAATGCATAAAAAAATAATGTTTCAAATATTTGAGATTGAGATATAAGGTTCTACTAAATATCAGGAGTTAAATTTGAGTTGATTGCTAGTTGTTAAAATTTATTTGAGCAGGTTTGCGAGAAAAATAACAATAAGATAGTGGATTAATATGTACTTACTCTGTCTCCTTATGAATCTCTTGTCTGTATTGCTGTTTATACGCAATATACGTAAGCAGTTCATGGATTATTCGTGGCAGTTTATAACAGTCGTAGCATTGCGCGCACTGCCACGCACTGACACGCATTCTCCCGCATCGTCCGTTCACGACGAGTTCACGAACAGTTTGCGCATAGTTCACTACCCGGTTGCGAAATTTTGTCGTAACCAAAATTCCGCACGGCACGCAGTCACGGCACGCAGTCACGACGGGTTTACGCACACTTCACGCCAGTTTACGATTAGGTTGCGCACTGGCACGACTCGAATCGTGCCAATGCGTGCCACAGAATCGTGCAAGTGTCAGCCTTGCTTTACCTAGTCGCGGTATCTGCTCACCGCTGCTTCCTTCTTCTTCCGTCCACCCCTGTTTCTCTCCCCAAATACGATTCTGGCTCCTCAGAATCGGTTTTGGAAAACGACACTAGTTTCTGGTTGCCAGAATCGTTTTTCAAAACGACACTGGTCTCTGGGCATCAGAACCGTTTTTGAAAAATTCAATAAAATGCATGACGTGCAGACACGACTATGCACAGTCATTGGAATGGTACGTAAATATACATTACCGGGGAGTGGTGGGGCCTTTCCCCCTCATCCCTCTCCGTCCTCTAACCCCACCTAAACAACAATTCAGATGTGATTGCTACCTGTACGCCGTAGGAGACTAATGTCTCGGTCTCAGCGCACGGCGCGGAGAGGCTTCCACGGTGAAGGTTACCTGGTCGCGGTAGACAATAAACACAGGTTGCCTCACCCTCCCTACGCTTCTGTTTCTCTTTGCAAGAACGATTTTGGCTTCTCAGAATCTTTTTTGAAAAACGACACTAGTTTCTGGTTGCCAGCATCGTTTTTGAAAAACGAAACTAGTTTCTGGTTGCCAGGTTCGTTTCCGAAAAGCGAAACTGGAAACTAGAAACTAGACACTTACTTCAGCGCTCTGTCTCCAGCACATATTCCTCCAAACAGACAGTGTGAAATACTGGGTACTCTGTTATACAATTCAGACTGGAGATTTCTTTACTGTTGTAGCTCTCCAGGCGCTAAGACACAAGGGGGGTTCTCAGCACAGCAAAGACATTCAAAAGCCGAGGACATTATATTACATTATATTATATAACTGCACCTGTAATAAAACTTACCGAATGCGTGTCTATAAATGAGGGGCATTTTAATTAAACAAACAATGTACGCATAAACCTTTAATCAAAACACAGATTACAACTAACAATGTATATTTACGTACCATTCCAATGACTGCACATAGTCGTGCCTGCACGTCATTTTGTTGTGCTTCTCCCTTCTATTCGTCCCACTCTGATGCGTATGGCTCCAACTAAAATGGACGAACCACCTGCTGCTTCTCGTCCTCTACTTCAACTTCCTTTTACGTCGCTGTTTAACTCATAGTCAGATATAAATTTCTACTAACATTGTTAAGTTCTCCTAACTATCGCTGGACAAAAAATCTCCACGTCTAAGCCATATCGGACTTCTGAGTCTCACCCACGCTGTCACGTCACACACTTACTGGCCTCAATCTCGCATTTTGTGACATTGGGCTGTTTGACCCATTTTTTACAGATGAGATTGCACAACTTCAATGCGCTGTGACAAGGTCACCATACCGGATAGCGAAACCAGGACTTCAGCATGTAGTAGTATAAAGATCGGTCATATTTTAATTGAAAAAAAAAAAAAAAAAAAAAAAAAAAAAAAAAAAAAAAAAAAACAATCCACTACCCTTGCTCTTTTACGTTTTCGAGTATATTCAAGGTGTGAACAAGTGTATAAGACTCGGGTGCATGACAAAAATAATTTAAATTATTTAATTTAAAATGTAGCATAACTAAATTACGTGACTGAAGAAAACAGTCTGTTCACCCACCAAGTGTTGTTGTTGTTGTGCCACAACTGACACTAGCATCCTCAGAGTGATCACAGTCGTGTGACCCCCAACCGTTGTGAATGCAATCTTTGATAGAGTCCTCACTCCCAGAGCAGACGACGTTATCCAAATGAATGGAACCGGTTCCCTGACCGAAATGAGCACCGGTAATGGAAACAGAGTCACTGGGACTGGAATTTTTAAGCAACGTCAAATTATTTGACATGATCAGATTTTTTATATAAATAAATAACATATGCATGATTAAAATGAGTAGCAAAAAAAACATACAATAGACGATTAACTTACTTGTAACCAAGCATTCTGCAGACCACACGGGCATCGTCGTTATCCCAGCCATCTTCACAGACAGTGCCCCATTCACCATTATGGAAGACCTCAACTCTCCCCTCACCAGCATTAGAACCACCCACCAATCTCACATCAACTGCAAGGAATCGCAGCTGACGATATGTAAAGTTTATATAAGGGCCATTCCGTGGTATTTGGTCCGCAGACGTCAAAATTTGAAAAAGGAATCCTACTTATAAAACTTATAATTTCTGAAACCAGACACCATAAGACACCAGAATCCAAACGAAATTTTAGGTTCTGATGATTAATTATGATTTTATTGACATTTTTATCTGGAAAACTTATAAAATAGTGTCACGGAAGGACATTTTTATTTTTGATATATTTTTCATAATAGAGATCATTTTAAACAATAAAGGCTAAATACATTAAATATAACTTATTTCTTACATTTAGTCAAGTGCATTAGATTAAAAAATATTTGATTATAAAATAATGGATTAATTAATATCAATTTGTCCTTCCGAGATGATTTTGGTACCTATTTTTTAAGTTTTCTCAGTAACTACAAAAGCTAAAAACTTATAACTTCATATTCTCCTCAACCATGATAGAGGCCAACAAAATATGAAAACTTTTTGCTTAGAACCACTTCAATAAGAAATTAAATCCAAATATATAAGCATTAAACATGACACCTAGCACAGTGGAAGCACGTATGAGGCATTTTGATTGGACCATAACAGGTCATGTGACCAATGAGCCCTAAACCCTTATGTCTTTCAAGATAATTTTGAACTTAAAATTCACAATTATTATATATATATAAGCATTTTTTAAACTGAGAAACATTTCATTTGAATGAATAATTTTGAAGTTATTATAATTTAGACAATTGTTTATATTTATAATTAATAGATTTGGTACGATTTTCTCTAAAAATGTCTCAATATTATTTAAAGATGATCAGAGCGGATGAGAACTTATATTATAGTTAAAATTAGTAACATGTTTGAAGATGAAATACATTACCATAGAAGGACATATTTACCTTTGATATTATTCATCAAACTTATGCTGGTATGTATTCATAAAATATTTTTATTAGCCTTATTTTACATTTTATTTAGCAATGGACAAAACGTCCTTCCGAGATGCGTCCTTCCATATCGCCTACTTGATTTTTTTATATGCAAAATTTTCAAATGTATTATTTTTTTTTCCGAAAACATTTTATACACTGAGAAAGTGAAATAATCAAATATTCATATTTTGATTTGACTTTAAAAATATATACACAGACAGAGCAGAATTTTAGTGTTGAAGTTGAAAGTTAAAATTCCATGTCCATTTCACGTCCTTCCGAGATGCTAACTATTTATCATAATTTTTTCATAACTATAATTATTTTAAACCTAATTTTTTGCCTTATTATAACTTACATATAGAAGAATAAACATACAAAAAATGGACCTTGTAACTTTTTTACTTTTGAAAATATTTTCTTTTGAAGTGTCAAATGTCCTTCCGTAACAGCAAAAAAATACCACGGAATGGCCCATAAGCACTTATCATTTACTAACGCACTGTTTCACACAAAACGGGACAGAAAAATCGTGCACAATGGATTTTTAGCCGCAAAGAGTGAAAAGGTCGTATGATACACGACACTTTAAGTATGTTTATCAATGATTCATTTTTTTAACTAAAAGTAATAAAGAATAATAAGAAACAACAGTTTCTGAGAATTCAAATGATGCATTATATAATTCAGGTATGTGTATAAAGGCCACACTTGACTCCTTAAATGAAACACTTTTTGGGGATTTGCATCTCACCTATAGCTGTTTTCTTCAAATAGCAGTTATGGGCCTTGCTTTACATATATAAACTAAAACTTATGTTAAAAAGACACTTTAGTCGCTTTAACCTTAGTTGTCAAAAAAAGTTATTCCGAAAATTGATATAGCACTTTTGTGGAACAGGCCTAAAAGATTAAATAATTTTGACGCAGTTGTGATTTTTTATAACACAAACGCTTTACAATACTTTCAGGTGCAGAGATACTGGTCCCCATCGTAGACCGCTTTTAATTCACAAAAAATTCCATAATCTGCGTCACGATTGTATTAAGGATGTTTCAAGTTGCCGTGCTGTTTGCAAAAAATGTAATTTTTCTACATGCCATTTGCCTACAATTGTGGAACCCCCCTCCCCCCCCCCCAAATTCAAACTCATAAGTGGCCATGGTCATAATCATAATGTCAAATGTCGGCTTTCATTTTGGTTAAGGAGATAACAACTCTTCATGTTGGCCAAAAAAGGACTTTACTGGGGTAAACAAAATTTTTGCTGCAAGGGTTATTGATTCCATTCTGATATATTTTAATATTTATTTATTTATTTATTTATTTATTTATTTTATTTTATTTTATTTTATTTTATTTTTCGGAACGAAGTATGCTTTGTATGCTATTTTTCTAAAGTTCTCTTTAGCGACAGTCTGGAAGTCTGGAAGATAATGTACCAGTGTTCAAGTAACCTGTCAATATAGTGTTTGTGCTTTGTAAAATGTATACATACATTGCAAGGTATAGTCAACTATTTCCTTTGATATTGAATATTTGGTTTTCAACATGTAAACGTTAATTCACAGTTCCTCTCCAGACAGTTCAGATTTCATTGCATACCTGATGCATTAAGAAAAGAAAATATCATCCAATGGAAAAGTCCGGTTTCTTTTTGATATGTGGAGTACACAAGTCATTATTATTATTATTATTATTATTATTATTATTATTATTATTATTATTATTATATTTTTTTTTTTGGGGGGGGATAAATGCGCGTTCTGATATTTTGCTGCAAAACAAAGTAGAACTAACAGTTGTATACGTCAGGTATGCATTCCCCACCATGTTCGCAAGGGTTAGGATTGCATCCGACTGTAAACGAATATTCGCAAAGCCAATTACTTGTTGGGCATACTTTATCAGTTTGCATAGTTCACATTTCTGTAATACACGTATTTTCATGAATTGAAATTAATCCTTGATTTTTCGGCATTCTTATAGTGTCAAGTGTCATAATTTAGTTATTTTAAGGACTACTGTAATTAGTGAATTTTCATTTAAAAAAATTTTTATATATCAGACACTTGTTGATACGTGCAATTGATGCTCTATTGACTTACTGAAATCCGTGGAATAGACGATGCCACTAGCCATCAACGCAAGAACAAGGGTGGAGAATATCAACAACCCCATAACCAGTGAGCAGAGTCAGTGATGTATGCTCTGTTGCTAAAAAAAACAGAAACACGATTACGGTCATGAATATTCTTAATTAATGCTGGCCAAGGTGTTGGTATGTTTATCTACGTCAGTGCCTCTCATTTCCCACATATGCTTATTCTGATACTTAAATCAAAAACCGCTATCCTACTTGCCAACATTTGTAAACGTCTGTTTATAATCAATGAATTGTGTCCCTTTCCCCGTGTCTATTTCCCCAAAAATTGCTACTGCACAACCAAACTGATTTCTAAATTCCCTGATGGGATTGCACGTTTCACCATTCTCAGACCCTACCGCACTAACTATGGATTGATCTATCCCTGAGGGGATTCTCGTTGAGAACTAACTAGCTTAATTGCTGATAGCAATTACGCGAGAAACCGCTGGGAGATGGATTAATCCTGTTACATGTACATCGATCTAGGTCTGGAACGCTGTCTTAATGTGCTAATCAGCTGCATGCCTTGGATGCGAAACCAATTCATTGAATAATGTTCCATTGGCAATGATAATCGTATGGCTTGTGTGTATCTTAAACTTAAGTTTAAACAGAATGTAAGTTGACATGCACGTTAAGGCCCCTCACGATGACGCTTGTAAAGTAACGGTAAAATGTTGTCAACCTTTGTGCAGCAGGTTATGCATATAATATGTACACAGTAATACATATAACACAACATTTATCTTCATCATAAATTAAAAGTGAGACTCGCAATGGTAAAATAAATTTCTGTCAATATAAACTTACCTTGTTTACACTGCAATCTGATCGGAATGAAACTTGTCAGTAAATCTATTTTATTTTATACACTGCCAGTACGTGTCTTGCCGTCCGTGGTGACACACGTGACATATGACAAACCAACCAATGACTGTCGTTCTCATCTGAATATTTCCATTTATTTATACCCCCATTACCAAAGGCCCCGTTTAAATGTTTCAATCATTTTTCTCTCATCGAAAAGCATTAATTATGAATTTGGCTATATGAAAATATCTGCAAATTTGCCGTTTTAACATTATCGAATACTTGAACACGTTGCGAAGACATTAATCCCCCGTCCTATCTTTTCCGATGGAAATTGTTCCTTGCTGTCTTGTAATATCGAACATAAATATTCCATGCTCTACCCAGCTGTGAAGCACTTTATAACAGCACACACTGAGGATGGTCAGGTTGTGACCGAAAACTTTAACAGACAAAATAAGCTTTAATATTGTGCAGAAATGAAGTTGAGACTTATTACCACTATCATCTAATGAGTTTAAGAGAAGAATTGAGAACATTTTTAGTTCATCCTGAGCGACAAGTTGTTGAAAAGTTGCGGAGTGTTAAATTTATATCGGGTATTAACTACGTCTCCTAATATTTTAAGTATTTTTTAGCATATTTGAAGCATCATTGATCAATTTACCTATTCGAAATGTGCATGAAAATAGTCCTACTGCTTGAAACGGCAATGGGTACCAGTATAGCACTTACAAAAATATGAAACAACAAGTAAGACTAATGGAAATCGAATTTGTTCACAATCCCACTAACAGTGATTCTGACAGTGAAGGCAAGCCGTTCGTTATTCTGTTTGATACGCAATACTCTTTCTATCTTTAGCATATTATCAAATTGACATTCAACTCTAACATTACAGGATACGTATCCTAATCCTTTATTATTATTTTTTTAATGTTTCTATTATTATTATTATTATTATTATTATTATTATTATTATTTGGAGAGTTATAGATCAAATGTATATTTTAATCAAAATATAGCCCTACCACTTAAAATGGCCGTTGATACCAGTATAACGCTTACTTGACCCAGACAGTGAAGGCAAGCAGTTTGTTTTGAT